TTATTTGTCATGATTTTTTCCAAATTTGTAGGTTGCCTTTTCACTTTATTGGTAATTTCTTTTGACATGAAAAAATTTCTCAGTAAGAGCAGATCAAGTGGTTGCTTTGAAATGAGGTCTGCGGCATGTGCTTGGCAGGGAGGCGCATCCACAGCTCCATTAACGCACCAGGGGACTTCTAGTTTCTGTTGTGTAGACTGTATCTTCAAATTTATTATTATTATTTTGTATTTTAGAGAAGGGTCTACAGGGTGTTCAGGGTCTAACTACTAGATCAGACTATATAGTGATCCTCCTGTTTACAGCCTCCCAACAGCTGGGATTACAGGCGCGCACCACCTCGCCCAATCTCAGTGCGGTGTAGGAGCGGGGTTGGCATGGCAGGCCTGGCATGGCAGGCCCAGGGATCCAACTCCCAGCCCCCACACCTGCTTGCAGGCATTTTAATCCACTGAGCTATTTGGCCGGCCCTTCAAATATATTCTTTTGTTGTAGGATGATTTTTAAAATCGGAAACTGACTACACTTAAAAGCTTTTGGGGCTGGGAAGATAGCTTAGTGGAATAAGTGCTTGCCAGGCAAGTGCAAGGTCCTGAGTTCAATCCTCAGTCTCCCCCCCCCCAAAAAAAAAGCTTTTGAAAAAGAGCTTTAAATAAGTTTACACAGGCTGGGGCCAGAAATAAATAAGTTTACACATCTGATTCTCCATTTGTAGCAGTTTTTTCTTATCAATTCCTTAATTGATTGCAGCTGGGCTATAAATTGCCCCTGGGGATATGGTTAGCGCTTGTCACCAGGCTTTCCAGTCATTCAGTATCACATCACAGGTACAGTGCATTTCAGCTTATGAACTTAATGTGTTTTATGATTTGAGGAAGATGGCTGCATTTGTGTTGGTGTGGGCGAGATGGCCCTGGTCATGTTTGTCACTCCACGTGGACTATGTGAACAGAGCAAACTTTTGCCAGATGCTTTTGTTTGCAAAGGGAGGCGGGAGGCGGGAGGCATCTGTGAACTGAGATACTATTGCATTAGCAAAGACTTGACTAAGTTATGAATAAATTGATGGCAACTGCAACATACGTGGGGCGAGCAGAGATCACCAGGCTTGTGTAAGGCAGAGTGGTAGGATCCCCTGCCCCAGCCAAAAGAAGTGTGTCCCTTTTATAGGGATGGGAATAAGGCAGGGGACAATAGGCAGGAAGACTTTGATAATCATCTGTGGTCAGTTGTCTGGCAGTCCTACATCTCAGTGGGCAAAGCCTTTGAAGTGTTCAGTATAAATTTTTAGGTGTCTTCAGATGTCCTGGGACCTGCAAGGTTGTCCTATCTTGTCTCCTTCATGACATCCTGTGCTTGCTGATGACAACTTTGGTACTGAGCCGAGTTCCCTGCGGAGAGCTGAGTTCTCAGCAGACAGTAGAGCTTCCCCTGGCAAGCAGGTTGGAGGTGGCGGGCGAGGAGTCAGGCTGCAGTTGAACCTTACAGGGACCGCTATAAATTGATTCAGTTGATTTGTGTAGACTTACCCATTATTTCTATAATATTTGCTTTAAAACCTGCAAATCATGTTAAAATCTTTGTTGGATAATTTTTCAGAAGAGACGTCTAATACTGTGTTACATAAAATCTAAACCCAGGCTTTCCATGTTTTTTCAACAGTATATCACAGAATTGGCAAATGCCCTGTCTTACTGTCATTCCAAGAGAGTTATTCATAGAGATATTAAACCAGAGAACCTGCTGCTGGGATCAACTGGAGAGTTGAAGATTGCAGATTTTGGGTGGTCGGTACACGCTCCATCCTCCAGGTGTGTAACTTTAGAGGTGACAGTTATACAGTCTAGCAGGAATCCTGAGGGCTAATCATGAAGTAAATAAACTCGAGAGTAGATTTTACGCTGAGTTAGGGCAGGTGACTCACCCAGAAATACGTTGGAATATTTTAGGCCTGATAATAAATTAATAGCAGCATTTTATTTGTGAGTGCTTCTGGCCGTGCATGGTGCTCTAGGCCCGGGTTAAAGACGCTTGATGCCCTTGGAGGTTAGTGATGTGGATGCAAAGTCAACAGATAGAGTGAGTACGTGACAGTTACAGTGGATTGCTGGTGGGCTGGAGACTGGTTTTCTTCATGGATAAGAAGACGGGAAAAGATCCTGAGAACAGCAGTACAAAAATCCACAGTATGGCCTTTTAGAGTACATCCTTTGGAGAATTCTGGAAACGAAATGGGTTTGGCTGGAGCTTGAGATGTGGCTGGAGAATCTGACCAACTCTTGCCTCGAGTGGGACAGTTCTCCCTTGTTGTCACCTCCCTGCCCCACCACACACAGCTGCGGCAGTGGCATCAACATAATGAAACTAATCTTTCCAAACAAGAGCTAAGATACTCTGTACAGTTTTACATTTAATTTGGGTTAAAGTAAGCTTTAAAGTCGAGCATGGTGTCGCATGCCTGTAATCGTAGCACTCAGAAGGCTGAGGCAAGAGGATCCTTGGTAGTTCGAGACCAGCCTGGGCTGCAAAGTGAGCTCAAGGCCAGGCTGAACTGCATAGCGAGACCCTGTCTCAGAAAGACAAGGAAAAAAAAAAGCTTTAGTGCTCTGTGGGGCGGGGGGTAAGGGCATTTTAAAGCAATTTGGTTAGGGCTTGTTGACTTAAAAATTATCACTGGAAGAATTTTTTTTTTAAATAGTTTTAAAATATATATATTTCCTAAAATAGGTAGGTGATTTGGGGAAGATGCTTTCTTTGATGTTTGCTGCTATCTTTTGTTTCCTGCAAAGCACTCTTTATTTCACTGGTTGCCATCATTGGGAGCCCTTATGTAAGACAAACAACAGAACATTGTGGGCTTTGTGGGGCTGCTCCGTTGCAGGAGGTGACTTTTCAGTGGCGTAGCGGTGTCATCGTATTTTCTTGAAGAGGTCATTTCTATGTTTGTGTCTGCTTCACCCCTGAATGTTAATCACCTTAGTAGCTTCCTGGTTTAGAACCCCTGGAGAAGTTAGGTGTATTCAGAAGTCTTTCCTCGCCCTGGGACACGGCGTGGCCGAGAGGGGCCTCCAGAGGTCTGGGCCTCAGCGTCAGGATGCTCCTGGCAGACGTGTGCCGCTCTGAGCTTGCTTCCAACCTTTGAAATGCCGAGTTGGAGCTGGTGGGAGCATGCCGCCGGCCTTGGCAGGGACCCCACTCCACAGTTCTCAACCCTGAGCTCCATGGACATTGAAAATGAGTGTATTTTTATGCTGCTGTAGCCAGCTCCCCGCTGTGCTGTGATCTGGTCCTTGTTTCGGGGCAGTGAAGTTCGAAGCCAGGAACACAGCACCGAGCAGGCGGTGGGGAATGACTGTGAGTATGCTTAACAGAAGGCAGCAGAGGAAAACCTCCCCACCTGTCAGGGCGGGGCTCGGCAACCTGGACCCTGGAGAGCTAAGTCCTCTGGCTTTCACAGTTTTGGTGCAGGTGAGGTCAGCTTTGATGTTGGTGGTCTCCCATTATTTAGGGACCTGTTCTTTGTCCCTTGCATTCCATTGGGGCTTGCGTGTTTGCTTCAAAAGTCAGTTATTTGGACTCTCTGTTAAGGTAACCCACTGAAGCCCCACCTTTAGCTTACGTTAGGTGAACTGTCTAGGACCTCTGGCCTGCCTGCCCGACTTCCTGGCTTTGGTGCGTCTATTGCTGTGATACTTTGTCCTTAAGCCCTACAATGTGCATGCCTTGCAAGTAAGATATTCCACCTTCCTATGACAGCTAACAGCTTTGGGAATATCTAGCATTTGCGCCTGCTCCTATTGCCCCTGTGGCCCATGCCATTTCATAGGTGTTTTTAAATCCCGGGCGAGGTCCATGCGTTGGCATTGTACTGTGCTCTGGTCTCTACCTAGACTAGTCTCTACATTTTAAAATAAATTTTTCTGACTGTGGTGTCACTTGGTGTCATCATAGAACTTTAAATTGTATTTATAGAGAGCACTGCCTGGGAGCTTTTCTAGCAAAATGATTTCAAGCTCTGGATTATCCGGAGGCCCTGGAGTCAGACAGACTTGGAGGGAGGCCTGGTTGGTAGCTGTGTGATCTTACACATTTCCTCTAGTCGGCTTCCTAGCTAAAACTGGGGATTATACAGTATCCGCTTCCCTGCCGGACCTGGCCGGGGTACACTCGGCCCTTGTTGGCAGCGTAACTCCCGGTGGCTGTTGCAGTGACAGCAGCACGGGTCAGCCCGAGCCTGCCTTTTAGGAGGACCACTCTGTGTGGCACCCTGGACTACCTGCCGCCCGAGATGATCGAGGGCCGGATGCATGATGAGAAGGTGGACCTGTGGAGCCTGGGAGTCCTTTGCTATGAGTTTTTGGTCGGGAACCCTCCCTTTGAGGCGCACACTCACCAAGAGACCTACAAAAGGATATCACGGGTAAGACGACACTGCTAGGGGCCTGCTGTGCTCTTAGCGTTCTTCCCTCATGGCAGAGGCGACTTTAAACGTGAAGGGAATCTTGAAACTTCTATTTCCTCACACCACGAGGATGGGATTGGGAAGCATGGCCTGTTCCCAGTTAGAACCTGCAGGACTTAACTTAGCCTTCCAATGGCAGCTGCAGGGTATGTGCGCCCAGCCAGGGCTGCCGCAGCCAGTTATTTTGCTTGCTTTCAAGTTTTTCAAAGACTTACCGCCTCAAGGACAGCTCTGCTCAGTGCTGGACCATGACTGATTCTTCCTGCGCTCCCTATCCGGGACCTCCTGGCGTACACAGGGGAAGTGCTGCCTAGCAGGGTAGGCAAGGCTGTGTAGCCCGCTGTGGGATGGCCCGCTACCTGTCTTTTGCACTTCTTCCTACAACCCTGTATGAGTGGCTGTTTTACTCCAAGACCAGGTGGTGATGGGGACCCCAGTGTCTCCCAGCCCACTAACGTAAAGCTTACGTCTTCCAAAGCTCCTCGGCGCTACGCCATCCCTACGGTCTGACCCAGAGTTTGGCAACATTTCAGCTGCACATTAAGTGAAGGTGTGAATATTTATACAGTATGGTCTCACTTACTTGTGTTTTGTGCCTTTTTGTTACTTGTACTCCAGGTTGAATATACTTTCCCTGACTTTGTGACAGAGGGAGCCCGGGACTTCATTTCGAGGCTGCTCAAGCATAATCCAAGCCAGAGGCCAACTCTTAGTGAAGTGCTTGAACACCCCTGGATCACAGCAAATTCCACCAAGCCATCACCTTGCCAGAAAAGCCAAGCAGCAGCCATCAAGTCATCTTAGTCACGTAAAGGGCGGGGTCCTTGGAGCAGGGCTGCTGTGGAACCTTTGGGGACGTGACGACTCCTGCTCCGCGCACAGGCCACAGAGGTGTTACTTCTCGCCCTGAGCCTGCAGCACCCTGGCCCCTGTTCACAAAGCTCCCCTGCAGTAAACGTGACACTCTGTGAAGGGGCCTCAAGAATCATGCTGCTTTGACCAGGTCCATACACGGAGGCGGGACTCAGCGGCAGCCATATGCACAGCCCCTGCCGGGGTCCTTGTGGGAGAATTCAGAGTCTGGTTGTCAGGAAAGTGACCACTTTCCTCTGACTGAATCAGCGAGTGCGCTACACAGTAACCTTCAAGAACTTGAGTGTGTGTGTAACTTATTGTGTGGTCAGACCTGGGAAAGGAGTTGGAATGAATATGAGTATTTTAAATATTGAAGCTTTCTGTATGGTGTCCTTTCTGTGCATCCCGCTGCAATGCTCTCATTGTTCATTGACCCTGTTAAGCCTGACCGGGTCTCTGGCCGTCCTTAACCACTATGAAATAGAACACATGCTCTACCTCTGTCTCAGGAATTGCATGGGATACACAAGCGACCCGACATCTCGGAACTTTTTCTAAATGTTTAGGGCTTTTTATTGCATTGGAGTTATGGCATGTGTGTAAACCTGTTAAATGCATAAATAAATATACTGATCTACCTGGAGTACAGGGGTAGTTATGTCCACGAGCTGTCTTCTGAGCATGGGCAGATCTGACGTTCCCCTGGTCTGCTGGATGTGCTCCTAATATGTGAAGCTGATAGCTGCCAGTATCACTTGTGTGTCAGCGAAAGGATGAATTCAGAAGTAGAAAGCCTGGGGAGATAGCTCGGCGGTCTAAGCGGCTGCCTGGCAAGTGCACGGTCCTGAACTTGATCCCCGGTACGACATGCTGTGCCGGCCACCAAGACCAGGCATGGTGGCGCATGCAAGTAATCCCAGCACTGGGGAGGCTGAGGCAGGAGGATCACTAGAAGTCCAAGCTGTGTAGCAAGACCCTGTACCAAATAATTTTTTTAAGCAGACAAACAGGTTTTCCTAGCTCATAGTGCAACAGACTGTAGAGGTCAGCTATGTCAAAAGAGAAAACTGGCTAACTTGAAGAAACTTCTAGGTCGGGGAGATAGCTCAGTAGAATAAATGCTTGCCTGGCAAGCACAAGGGCCCGAGTTCAATCTCCAGTTCCACCCCTCCACCCTCCAGAAAAGAAACTTCTATGTCCAAGCCACAAAGCAGTCAAACATAAAACAACTCAAACTTCAGTGCCCCTTGGGACAGGCGAGCCTTTACTTCCCAGTCTTGTGCTGAGCCTACTTTTGTGGTCCTGAAGTATGCATATCTCAAGGATCGTCCAGGATCCTGTCCGCTAGAGCGACAGGACTGTAGTGACAATAGGCTGGCACACTTTGTTGGGCAAAGTCCTGCTCAGGGAAGGAAAGACCTCATGGTGCCATGCCTGGCAAGGACCTCACAGCTGCTACTCGTGTAACTGGCAGCAAGGATGGCTTATGTTAGGTGGTTTATATCCAGATGTCCTCCCAAAGTCCCATGCGCCCGAAGGTGGGGCCGTCAAAGGCAGTGCGTGATGGGGTGGTACAGGGGATGCACTGCTGGAAAACAGCACCGCTGGTGTAGAAGGGAGTGTGCGCTTCCTGCGTGCCCAGGTGAGCCGGCTGTTCCTCTGCCAGCTCCTGGGCCTTCCCATCTGGCCTTGGAGCCAGCCGGCTCTCACTGAAACAGGAGCCACGATGCAGCTTTTAGCTGCAGGTGTGCCAGTGGCAACAACAGTGGCCAAGACTCTGGAGGAGTAAGAAAAACATAACCAACTTTATACAGATGTTTATTTCCCTTAAAATGCTCACCTTGTCTATTAAAAAATTAGAGGCAAACTGGTTTACATTTTGAAAATAGATCATACACCTAGTTCCATTAAAAACAACGTAAATACAAGCTGTCTGAATATCTTGCTGGTAAATTCAGATCATACGTTAGTTCCCTGGTCCTTTGTCCTTAGCGTGTCACTATGATTTTTTCTGCTTTGGGGTCCGGCTGAGAGCGTCGTGACACAGTTGCTTGGTGTGAAGTCACTCCTGCCCAGGGGGGTCGAGCTGTAAGCCCCTGAGCTGCAGGCTTTCAGTCAGCATCTTTGCATAGGCGTTCTGTGCTGGCATGTGTGGGGGATGGGAGCCCAGCATGGACAATCACTGTGTAACTAAGAGGTGGGAAAGTTCTGCCCAGTCCAAGTAAAAAGATGGAACCGGTGTCATCAGGCATACAGCGTGAACTGTATACAGCATGACAATGTCCTGGGAATTGGAGCCCAGAAAGGCAGTTCCAGCTATAAACCTGTAAAAAGCTTTCGGCCGTGTACCAGCAGGTTTAAAAGAAAATAGTTCCGCTTCAAGGTCATCTTGCAAATGGAGAATCTGTCCCACAAAGATCCTTTTAACTGTTGAGATAACCCAGTGGCAATGATAATTAGGGTTTAACTAGCGGGCACAGCCGGAGCTTAGTAGGTGGTTCCTTTAGGTTTCTAATTGTCACAGAAATAATTTTAAAGATAGAATTACAAGCCAGGAAGATAAACATGACCCCCTCAGCCCTCGGGAAGGCAGAAATGCTGGATCAGCTGAGTGTAGAAGGCTAGGACAAGGCTCAACGCACTGCTGAGGAGGCAGGCGGAGGGGTGGGTCTCTGCTTGAATTCTCACCTCCCCGACACACTTGCCCTTTGTGGGGTGACAGTGGCTTGGGAGACAGCTTCCACCTGCCAGTCTCCTTTTCTTCCCGGCCTGGATAGTCTCTCATGGCTGTCTTCCATTTATAACAAATGCTACTAGTTTTTCTTTCTGGGAAGTCACGCCAATCTTCACGTATATAATTTTGGCTCAGTTTAGAAGCACGAGTAGTGACACGATGTAAACATTGTGACAACTCTGGAATGTCTGAAGTTTGAAACAAGAGTTAAAGATTGTCCAAGAAGGGCTAGGATTGTTTTAGCTCTTCCTTTCTGCGGCATGCATGCTGACGGCGAGAGCCACATTACCACTGGGCAAGGTTTTCATATTTCACGTCAACAGAGACAAGTGACCCAACTTCAATGAAATTTCAGAAAAAACATCTCAAGCTCAAAGATGTCCAGATTGGAAGGTTTAGGGGCCAAAGAAATACTTGTTTTTCTTTCCCCAGAGCAAGGGCAGTGAATGTCAGAGGGCTGGTGCTAATTTACTTATGATCACGTGTGGCTAACTTCTGCTTCATTAATTGGAGCACCGGCAGCTATTTTACCGAATATTGCACATTAAGCTGCAGGCTGCTGACAACAAACCAGTGGAAAGGGAATCGTAAAAGCAGCTAAATGAATCCTTGGCTTAAAAGAACTTGCGCATGGGGAACCCTCGGGGGCTTTTGCAGACGGGACCTCACCTTGGATCTTCCAGAAAGAGCATGTAAGTGGGCTGTCCAAGTCGGAGATGTTACCTCCTTTATGAGGCTGACACTTCAGAGTATGTGCATAGCCCTACGCTGAATGGTGGGAAAACTTACCAACCCCAAATTATAATTATTCAAAGCCTGATTTTTGGTGCAAAGGTAAACTTTATCCACGAGAACATAGCAATTAGCTCCCTGCTTCCACTCAGAAAAACCCACAAGCCTGATCAGTCCACATGGTACACTCTCAAGCTAGGTTTTCAGTGCCTGCAAATCCTCAAGGTTTTGCAGCTGGAGGCTTAAAAAGTCCCACTTTCCGAAGGTATCTGACAAGGAAGGGCACAGAGACCAGGGTGATGCTGATTCGCACGGGCGCAAACAGCTTGTGGATTGCGTAGGCCACCACGAAGGTGCTCGTGCCTGCTGCCATTTTCGACTGCACCAGCGACTCTTTAAATCCGAGTTTAAGCAGGATTGCAGACATGTCTACGCCACTGGGAGGGAAAGGGGCGAAGAAAACAATTACTTAGCCATGGACTACGGAATCAGTTTGGCTATAAGATCTACATATTATAAAAGTATCTGCATGAACAGTCTTAGTAAAAAATTCTCGTTTCTAGGGCATCTTCTACGGCAGTAAAAACCAAGTCTTTATTACTGTTCAAGAGCTCACCTTGAAACAACCATGTAAAACAGGCCCAGGGAGATTAACGAGATCCCAACATGCAGTGACACACCAACGGCTCCGTACTCTTGGAAAACCTTCTTCAGCTGCTGTGCCTTGCTCTGCTTGCTCTCGGGGCTGCCGGCCTTGCTGCCTGAGGTCTCGGCGATTCTGCTGGGCTCCTGTGCAGAAGCCAAAGGGGGCGCCAGGTCGGTGGTCTTCGCCAGCTTTTACACTCATACACACACGTCTTTCTACTGTCTTTTGGAGAAATGGGCTCACTGTGCAGTTCAGGCTGGCCTTAAACTCACTCTATAGCCCAGGCTGGCCTCGAACTTGCAGCCATCCTCCTGCCTCAGCCTCCTGAGTGCTGGGATGATGGGTGTGCACCACCACACCCAGCTTCATGCACATTTTGCTACCCAGTGAGAGGCCAGTTTGCCAATCGGGACAAGGCCCACTTCTCACCCTGGTATGACCAAAGGCTAGGCAGTACGTACGGCCGGCACAAAGGCGGCCTCAGACGTGGCCAGGAACAGGTCCTCAGAACCCCTGACTGTCAAAATGCTTTTGAGCTCACATTGGCGAAAGTATTCTGCAGATGTGGTTAAGGCTCTGCAGGTGGGGAGCTTGTTCTGGATTACTTTGGTGGGCTCAACAGAGGTTCTTACAAGGACAAGGAAGGGAGCAGAAGCACACACAGCGACCTGAAGACCCAGCACTGCGGGTGTATGCAGGTGAGGGCCCCGGCCAGGGAATCAGGCAGCCTCCAGAATGGACTCACTCCCGCAGCATGAAGGAGGACCCAGCCAGGCTGATCCCTGCTGTACCCCAGGGAGACTCAGGCTGGCCTTCTGCCTCCTGGGGCTTGTGGGATAACCATGTGGCCATGTGTTCGAGGAGCAGGCCTGACTGAAACCCCAGGCTCGTTTGCTTGCAGGCAGGAGCGATCCTCCAAGGAGCATTTCCCTGAGCCAGGCAGCCCCCTGCTGCGTTTTCTCCACCTGCTCCTCCTTCCACTTAACTGTGACTGCGTCTCCCACTTCCCAGAGGGGTGGCACCAGCGTGGCCCAAAGTCAGCAAAACCAGACCTAGGCTGCCTGCGGCATGAGCACACAACCCACGCTATGTGCTACTGAAGATGGAGGTGGCGCAGCCCCACGGGGAGCGAAAGCTATGGTGTCACACTGCCTTCAGGATTCAGATTTATTCAGTGGAGGACCAATTCCTGGACAACGCGCTGACTGGGATTGTACAGAAATAGTTATGTGTGGCATTTACTACTGACCTGTTATCATTCAGGGATCACTACCTGAGCCTGAAATGTTTGGAAAAAACAATAACAACAAAGCTATCCAACTATACTTGGACTAAAAACCTCAAGAGGACATTTATTTATTTATTTATTTATTTATCCTTTTGAGACAGGGTCTCACTATGCAGTTCAGGCTGGCTTTCAACTCCCTTTGTAGCCCAGGCTGGCCCTGAACTCACAGCAAGCCTCTTGCCTCAGCTGCAAATTTTGGTTTTCAGGTCTTGCATGTAATCCAGGCTGGTCTTGAACTCATGGCAATCCTCCTGCCTTAGCCTCCTAAGTGGTGATATCGCAGGTGTGGGGCTCCACACTGTTGGGAGCCCTGGAAGCTAGAAAACTGGTCAAATGTGTGAGTGGGACTAGGCCTCAGTGCCTAAACAGGCCACCTGACTGGTTAATGTCAGCTGTTAGTCACTAGGCAACCTTGTGTCACAGGTTGTTAACCTTGCAAAGGCATAAACATCCATATTGTTCACGGGGTTGTCTTGCCAACCAGGCAGGAGTCACCACCTAACCCAACTTTTGTCTTCTTGTCTGTCTTTTCCTCAGTCCTGCTGCCATTTCTCCCTGGGTAGAACGGACCACACGGAGACCCACAAATCCCTACGCCACACCTGGCTTTGAGCATCTCTAACTACAAGATTTAGGAGGGTGCTTGGTGTTCGTCTCAGGAGGGGGCGAGGACCTGCGTACAGGAGGGCTCCAGTTACTGGTCCTGCAACTGGATGGCTTCTTCCCTGAGCCATCTTGTGCAAAGGCAAAGGGAAGGGACATGCTGGAAGACCAGGAGATGGTGTCAGGCCACCCGGAAGACAGACTACAGGGTGTCCCAGCAAGCAGCAGCCTTCATACTGACCAGCTTCGCTTGCACAACTACACGTCCTCCTGACCTGCTGCCACAGGCAGCGGGCACATCTGATACGTGATGCTGCATTTCTGGCTAATATGGCTCGCATGGTGTCCCCATCTGGGACACTGAGGAGAGAGGGCCTGGAGAGTTTTTCTCCGTGTACCTGTATCCATGTGCCCAAAACTCATTTTACAGGCCAGGGATTTGTCATTGGCTCACCATCGGACTGTGAGGCTACAGCCAGAGCTGTCAGGGGCCCAGCTACCTGCCCTGTGTCACAGGGCACATTCTTGGGGCTGGCTTCCCTCCTGCTCATATGGGCTGGGGACAAGGGTCCTCCTACTGCTTTTCTTTGCATATTTCAAATAGAAACGTGAATATGTCCTCCTCCACTGCTTTGACGCCTAAATGAATACCACCTTAGCGATATCTTCCTGAGCCACCTTCTTTCGAGCGAACAGGAACACTGGGGGGGCTGAGGCAGGAGGAGCTCTTTGAATTCAAGGCCCACCTAGGCTACACAGTGAGTTCACGGCCAGGCTGAATTACACAGGGAGAGCCTGTCTCAAAAACAAAAGCAAAACCAAATAAGCTCCAGGACATTGTCCCTCGAGGTTTATTCTGCCACAGTCTTGTTGTACACGCTGCTGCTTATGTAGCTGGAAATCTGGAGGCCTTTTTATTTTTCTTTCATGGCCGGAAAGCCATTTGCCAAACCAGTGAGTGTAAACAAAAGGGCCTTCAGCAGAGACAGCTACACCGCTCTGTAAATAGACAGAGGCTGCATAATTGACTTAGCCGGGGCCAAATGTCAAGGGTGGGAAGTGAAAGGGACTGTGGTCATCAGCCAACCGCAGGGTTTGGCTCGGGAAGGGTCCTCTGCCCTCCCATCAGCTCTGGCAGCTGGTCCCTCTGCAACGACAGGAGGGTGGGGCTTGTTTATCAGAGAGAGCCCAGCTCTCAGCAGTCATTGTAGCTGGGGCCCAGGGCTGCCAGAGGCAAAGGAGGTGATGACAGTTGTCTCTATCCCCAACCCCAGCTGGGACAATAGCGTCCTTCAGGAATGGCTGGCTACTCTTGAAGAGCATGGGGGGCACCGGGAGCCACACACTTGTCTTCCCCAGTCTCGAGGGGATAAAAGAGGGTGAACCAGAGGAACTAGAGTGGGACTTGCAAGCAGTAGGAATTTGCACACATTCATTTCTCCATGGGATAGGAGTAGGGACCTACAATATGTGTGGTCCCTCTTCCCTGGCCCACTGAGTAAAGCACCAAGAGCTTTACAGAGTCAGGGCAGGAGGGCCAGAAAAAGGAACCAGCCGTCAGGCTCATCTTTCACAGAAATTCTTGTTTTCATTCACTTAATAATTAATAAATGGCACTTATACTGTACCAGGCAATGTTCTATGTGTTCTGGAAATACTAGCTTATCTAATCCTCCCAGCAGTCTGGAAGAGGCCTGACGGATACCCCACTTACCAGAGGAGGGTTCCAGGAGACCAGAGGGGAGTGTGCAGGGACTAACTGTCGGAGCGGGACCTAATTCTGCTGGGGCTGTTTCCAAGGACTTTGCTTTTAACAACTCTGTTCCTCAAGCAGTCTCGTCTTTCCTGAGCCAGGAACTGCTGTAAGTGTGGGGATGGAGCGAAGAAGAGAACTTGGCAAAACCTCCAGGAGCCCTGGGGTGGGGGCAGCAGGGACAACAGACAGAAAAGTGAGCTACAGGGTGGCAGGGGGGAGGAGGGCCATGGAGGACCACCAAGCAGGACAAGGGAGGGAGCTTAAATACCGGGAGTCATGCTGTAACCCCTGTAGTCAGGAGGCTGAGGCAGGAAGACCACTGTGGGTTGGAGGCCAGGTGAACTGCACAGTGAGTTCAAATCTAGCCCAAACTACACAGGGAGACCTTGTTTAACTAAATAAGGGAAGCCAGAACTGCAGGCAGGTACTGGCGCAAGCCAGCCACCTCCTCTCCCTGGTGGCCTGGGAAGTGTTTTCTCAGGGCCACGAGGATCTTCATTCTCAAGTCCTGGTAGGTTCCGATCCCACCCTATTTTGTCAGAGTGCAGGGAAAACAAGGGCAGCTCACAGGTCCCCGGAACTGTATGTACTTAGTAGGACTGCAACTGCTAACATTACTGAGGATGTACTGTGTGTCCTGTGTAAACATCTTGTTTTTACAATGCTACATGTGATTAGGGCCATCCCATTTTACAGATGAGGAAACTGAGGCACAGAAGAGTGAGCACGCTTGATCAAGGCTACATAACTCGAGTAAGAAACAGATAGGGGGAATCTAATATGCTCACCCCCCCCCATCCCCACTGTCACATTGGGCCTGGCCTGGGCACTGGGTTATCCTAGATGACAGAAGAGACAAGCAAGACAGGGGCCATTCCAGAGGATGAAAACAGCCCACTAAACACTCCTGGGGTTCAGGGGATCCCACTGGGAGCGTTCAAGGCTTCGCTGATGGTGGTGGGGGGCTTCCTGGGAAGGAAGGGCAGGGCTGGGCCCTGGAGACACAGCTGGAGCCTGAACGGGTGAGGATGTGACGGTGCTGTGTGTTTCTGTCTGTGCGGGGGTGGGGGTGGGGAGTCTGGTGAGGGCATGGGCCAAACCCCTCTGCCACCCACGAAAATCTACAGAAGTTCAGGCAATGGGCCCCCACGTGGCGCCCATCGCCGGCCTGCAGTGGCCAGCCTGTCCATCTCCCAACTCCTGCCTATGGCTGCCATTCCTAGACCTCTCTGCAAGGTCAGGCGGCAGGCTGGAGGCTCCCAGGTCACGGACTGGCTGGTGCACGAGGCCCCATTCAAATGGACTGCACCCTCCTTTCCGGGCCCGCAGGCCCCGAGGGTCCTCACGGGTCAGGCCTGTGCCCCCGGCTTTCTGTAGATCCATTAGGATGGCAACAACAAAAAACTAATGTTTAAGAAAAGCTGTACTGCAGCTCCGAAGGGAAGCTAGCTCTCCCTCAGCACTCGCTCAAGGCCACCGAAATGCAATGCAATCCGGAGCAGCACAGCAAGATCTGCGAGTCGGATGGGGTGGGCGGAGCAGCGGCCGCGCCGAGGGACGCGAAACCGGCTTCGCCCGGCCCAGGGCGGGGGCCCGAGCCGGCATCAAAGGGGACCGCGTGGAAGGCCTGCGAGCAAGTTCCGAGCGAGCTCCGGTCCGCAGGATTCCCCCGGCTTTATCACTGCCCCGGCGACGCTCTGGAAAGGGGGCTCTGTGACCTTGGGCAACGCACCGGCCACCCCCGAGCCTCAGTTTCCCCGGCCGTCTTAGGACGATCCCTTTCTGGTGTGTAGGGATTTGGGGACTGGGCAAAGCTGCCCTGGCTGCGGAGCGACCCAGGGCCTGCTCGGCGAACCTGGGGGTCAGAGGTCAGAGTGAGGGTCAGAGGTCGGGGTGGGGGTGGAGTGGTTTACCTGGTGGCTGCGGAAGTTCCCGCGAGCCATGTAGAGCAGCCGTGCGTCTGGGCCGGGCCGGAACTGGACCTGGGCTAGGGGCGGCGGGGCGCAGGGGACGACGGCACCCAGGAGGCAGGTGGCGCGGGGGCAGAGCCGGGCTCCCACCTTGCCCGCCGGGCCCAGCAGCGCCAGGAGCCCAGCCATGGTATGCAGCGAGGCGCTGCTGCCCTCCCAGAGCCGGCGTGGGGTGGGCGGGGCCTGGCGCGCGCCCTGCCTGGCCACGCCCCCGCCCTCCCTGGAGCCCGGCTCGGGTGGGCGGGGCCGCAGGCGCGCGCAACCTCTTGGCCCCACCCGCTAGCTCCGCCCCCTCCCCGGAGGAGTTGCGCGCGCACTCAGGGTCGGTCCCTTTGGAGGGCGAGTTCTGGCTCCTTTCGGCCTCGGCCTTGGAACTCCAAACCGCGTAGGGTGGCTCGTCGGGTGTTGCCCTCTGTGCGCGCCAACGTGGGCCTAGGGCTGCGCTGGTGAAAGAAACCTGAAACCTGAAAACTACAGATTTGTTTGCAAGTTAGCCCCCAAGAAAAAAAGAAATACAGAAACTGACAGTCATCCGTCTTAGAGAATCCCTGTCTCAAAAAGAGGGTAGAGGGCCGGCCAAATAGCTCAGCGGATTGAAGCGACTGCAAGCGGGCGCAGGGTCTAGGGGTTCGATCCCTGGGCCTGCCGGGTGACTGGGTGTGGTGGTGCGCATCTGTAATCCCAGCTCTTGGGAGGCTGTAAACAGGCGGATCACTATGAGTCCAATCTAGTACTGAGGCCCCGAACACCCTGTAGACCCTTCCCTAAAATACAAAAGGAAAAAAAAAGAAAGAAAAGAAAAGAGGGTAGAACTGTAACTCAGGGCAAAGGCTCTGGTTCAATCCCTCTCCCAAATGACACAAGACAAAAGATGAACGCGCTAACCAGCAACTTCAAGACGTCGAAGTTCACAGCCGGTTCCTTCCTCTTCACAGCGTCACACCCAGAAGCTGGGAACCATCGCGTGCACTGGCTGGTAGTGGACACAGCCGGGGGCAGCTGCTGCGGACGCGTGGCGGGCGCGACCCAGCCCGGCGAGGACGGCGTGACTGCGATCCGCCCAGCGCAGCTGCGGAGAGCTAAAGCGCGGGGGCTGCCCGGGGCTGGGCTGGGCGCTGGCCGGGGGAGGCAGGGGGCCGCTGGGCAGTGGCCGAGTCCTTGCGCTTAACACCGCCAATGTTTCGTTTTGTTTTATTTTATTATTATTGTTTTGGGGGAAGGGTCTACAGGGTGTTCAGGGTCTCACTACT